TAAGGATCCTTTTAATATTTCTTCCTTTTTAATATTATAATTTGGATTAATCTCAAATGAAGTATTTGTTAAGAAAAAAATAGTTCAATTTAATTTAAATTAAATCATTCTTCTCGATTTCCATTTATTATGGTTATACATCCCAAATTACCAGAAAATAATTTTAAGTTTCATATTTCGTTAATCTCTCATCATTCATAAAATGGAGGCTAAAAAATTACATTAAATAGGGATGGAGTAATCTATAAAATATCATAATTTTTAAAGGAATCTGATCTAAAGTTAGTTTAAAAGTTTTTCAATAAACATCTAATTCCAAATAAAACTTAGCTGTATCATTTCTTAATTCTTATTGATTTTGTAAATGTTTTCCTCTTAAAAAATAAACCATTGTATTGCTATCATTATTTCTTATGATTAATATTAATAAGCTTCAACTGAAACTTTAGATTCTATTATCTAAACATATTGATTGACACTTGAAGAGATATCATTAACATCAGTTTGAATGGCATTTTGCCTTATTATTGACCAAAATTAGTTTTTGAAATTCCACAATCGCCTCCTCTTAGAATAAATTTTGATTTGTTGATTTGGTTTAGCATGTATAAAAAGTATTTAAAGAATAAATCTAACACAAGTATATTTGAACGATAAGAGTAAAATAATAGTAAGTTTTTATAATGCATCTGATAATATCATTTCGTCTTCTGAGAGAAGAGGTATATGCATATCCATTATAATACAAAGGGAATCTCTTGGTCCTAAAGCATAAACCAAACCTTTGTATCAAGAACGATTTTAAAGGATGTTTGTTTTACAAAATATTTTCTGTCACCCAAATCCTTTTAATATTTAATCGGGTATACAAAATTTATAAGGATTTATCTACTTTTGTAAAATTCTTTATTTCATGAGAGACAATTTTATTAAGAAACATCATAACAGTTTTTGCAATATCTATTGCACTAATTATAAGCATTTCCTTATAGATAAGTGAATGACTTATAAAATAAAATTCTATTAGTTAACTAAAACTCTTCACTGATATAGTAAGAACATTTATTTGAACTGATAAAAAACTAGAACAAGATGAACACGCTTATTCTAACTATAAGTTTATGTTTATTGATCAAAATTCAAAAATTCATTACTTAAGGAGCTCGAATTAATATAGCCTGACTGCCAAGTTCTATATATACTTAAAATATTACAATCTGAATAAAAAGGAGGAAACTAAATATAATGATTAAATATTACATTGTGAACAATTATTTAGTAGTCTTATACTAATTATTATTTTAAAGTTATTCAACTCAAACTAGAAGAAGTATAAATTAAAATAACTTAGATAAAAAATATTGTTATTGCAAGATGAATTTTAAGATTATCCATGTTTTTTTAGGATCCATCATACTTTACTAAAAAACTTACCTAAACTATTTTTAAATTGAAAAGAAAATTTTAACTACTTTGCATAATTTGTAGATGGAACTGGAAAACTTCAAAATATGAATTTATTTCTATCAGAATCATTTTTTAATTATAAAATACTTTCGCTCAGTATCTAGAATCTAAAAATTAATAATATCTCATAATCAAAACCATTAGATGATTGAATAAGGCCTTACTAAACACATTAGTTTTTATTTAATTATTCACCTGTTTCACATTATACATATTAATATATAAACAAGTTAGATAATTCTATTTCTATATCTAGTGTCAATAATAACCTTTCTAAATATTCAAATTCCATTTACTTCCTAAAATTATACTTAAATTTTCATTAAAGGATTAGAATTAAAGAATTAAAAAGTCATCTCTATTTTTAACATAGTAAAACTACTCTCGTAAAATCAATCTTTAGAAATATTTTATTCGAATTGTTTACTTGATTCTAGTAAATTAATATAAACTATTAGAAATGTTACTGAATTTTTTATATTAATTCAAAATAGCATTCCTTCACTAAAATATAAACTATCAAAAATGAATTCCATTACAATTTTCATATATCAAGATGTGTTATAAAAATAAAAGGCTAATATCGTAAGTAAATTGATGAAGAAATAACAATATTATCAAATATTAATAAAGCTTGATTTAATTCTGTTGGCTTCCGCTTAAATTTTATCATAACGAGCAATCAAATTATCTCTCTCAAATTACCAAATCATGTTAAAAAATCTGTTATAGAAGGACAATTCCAAGTTAAAAAGTTGGATAATAGAAGATGGCTTAAATTCACATATTTAATTCCTATTTCCAAGTCTTCATCATCAGGATTTAAAAAAATGTGATTAAAGATTTTAAGCGCTTAACTTAATAATTTTAATGATAACCTGTACTTATATAAAATATCTTCCTTATTTAAATATATTTTATAAGATTAAGATAATTATCTATATCA